AAAAAAAAAAAAAAAAAAAAAAAAAAAAAAAAAAAGTATAAAGTAACTTTACTGGGACAACAGAGTAAACTGTAATGCAGACTAAACATTGCATACAATTATGTATCATTACTAAATTTTCTCAGTAGGAGGAAGATATTCTGATAATTAGAGGAGAATGCCCTTGCTCTTAGGAGAGATCTGCAGCAAACTTTAAGGATGAAACATTCTGATACCCACAACTTATTTTCAAATAATTCTAGGGGAAAGAATGAGTTCTCATAGGCACCAAATAAATCAAGACAGGGATGTAGATAGACATCGATAGACAAAGATTAAGTGGCATAGTTAGGTGAGGGCTTTCGGGTGTTCACTATACTATTCTCCCCACAACTAAGTGTAAAATTGTTTAAAATGAAAAGTTGGAGATTGCAAAAAGGACCTGACAAGGAAAGATGATGGCAGCAATAAGCGAGACGTTCCAAAAATTATCTGCAGCTGCATCCAACACAAGGCAAGCCGTTGGGCTGGGGAGATAGCTTGGGAGTCTAAGCACCTGCCTGGCAGCACAGGGTTAGATCCCCAGCACCACATGCCCACACTGGCCCTGGAACCCTGGGCATGCAGTACCGGCCACTGAAACCAAGCATGGTGGCATGCACCTGTAATCCCAGCACTGGGGATGCTGAGACAGGAGGATCGCTATGAGTCCAAGCTGCATAGTGAGACCCTGTACCAAATACATAAATAAAAGACCCAAGCTGCTTTCTTTAATTCTTGTTTTTGACCACCAAGAAGGAGGACCAACCACTAGGAAATATCAGGAGGGAAGATAAGTTCAGTTTTATAAATATTCATTTGTGTTGTCTAGGAACACTTATCTGGAAAAGCCCAATCAGCAATTGCAACCTACCACCTGGAGTCCAACTGCGGTCAGCACCAGGCATGTCCTAGAATCTGGCCATGACCTTATATCAGAAACTGTATGACACAGGCCAAGTAGAAGACAAAATATGGATTTGGTCTTCGGCCCTTTCTCCTGGCATCCAACTCCTAAAAGCCTTGCAATCTCAAGTCACTTTGTAGCCCAAAGGTAGCTACAGAATTAGAGGGCTGCTCTTTGAACCGCACTCCCCAGCATGAGAAGGAAAGACAATCGTCAGTGGTCAAGGATTTCATCGATCGTGCCCATGCGAAACCTCCATAAAAAACTAAAGATGGTTCAGAGGGCTTCCAGACAGCTGGGCATGTGGGTGGATGGGGCTGCCCAGAGAGGCGCTATCCTGGGTGTTCCATACCCCTTCTCCCAGCACCTCGCCATGTGCTTCTCTTCACCTGTACCTTCTGTGACATCATTCATCATAAACAAGTAAATGTAAGTGTTGCCCTGAGTTCTGTAAATAGCTCTAGAATATTTGCCAAACTCTCAGAGACAGTGTGCAGAACCCTAGTCCATAGATCATGAAGTCAGAAACAAAAGTACAATAACCTAGGACTTGTGGTCTTCACTTGAAGAAGGGGGAGGGGCGGTCTTGAGGATGGGGCCCCCCATTGTGGAATACAGCACTATCTCTGGGCATGTGATATCTGAACTGACCTGAATTAGCAGCCTTCCAGCAGGTATCCACTGGAGACTGCCTGCTTGCTAGGGCCCCTTTGCGGGTCCCTTAGCCTTCCAGTGCATAGTGACAAACTGTCACAATATACTCTCCAGAGAAAAGAGCAGTAACAATTTATATGCTTGATACATTCTATCATTAACAAAATATCTCAGATAAGCAAGATAAATGTACTTTGAAATTCAATGAAGAATTCAGAGATTAGCCAGCAACTTTAGCAAAGCATGGAACATTAAACTTTTCATCAATTTTTGTGAAAGGATCTAATTCTAAAACAGATGCTATCATAGTTTAGAAGCCAATTTGGGGGATTGTTTGGTTTTGCTACATATTTCAGCCCAGGCTTCAACTGGCTATGTAGCCCAGGTCGACCTCAAACTTGGAATCCTCCTGCCTCAGCCTCCTCAGTGCTAGGATTACAGGTGTGCCATCAGCCCAGCAACAAGCTGAATCTTGTAAAGATATAATTTAGGCTATCTAACCTGTATTCATAATGTCAGATGCCTTTAGTATTTAAATCTATATTATCCACTAAAAAAATAAAAGAGGTCATAAAAATTCCCTCAATAATTTAAAGAGAAAAATCCAAAATAGAAATAAGCCACTTTAAGATATCTTTTAAAGAAGTCTCATTTCCACCAATTTAGGCACAGGTGTGCAGATGACGTGAATCTTTAAATAGGATTACTACATAAATCAGCTACACCTGCATAATTACATCTTTTTTGTAAACATTTTTTATGAGTTCTACACTAGACACAAGGAAGATTTCTAAAGGAGATAAACATATCTTGAATTATAGATAAATGCTTTTGTACCATCTATGCCGACAATTACTGAACAGAAATAACAAGCCTACCTGTCAGCTGTCTGTCCCCACAGGTGACACGATAATGTTCTTGCTTCTCCTTTACTGACTTTATATGACCAATAAAAATTATTAGTATATTAGAGCATGAATTTGGACTACAAAATCACTGGAATTTCTTTTTTTTTAACTGACCCCAGGATATATCTAAAAGAATGTTCCACCTCAGAGATGAACCCTAAAAAATTATACACTTATTCAACAAGGTCTTTTACTCCTTGTTGGACTCATCACCAGAACTTCTTCCACAGCCAATCATGTTGCAGTTGCCCATGCACTGCCTTTTGTTGTGGCTTGGTTGTTTTGCTCGCCCTTATGAATTATCTTATGCACCAATTTGATTCATTTTGCCAATGCTGAGAATACCCAAAGGAGTAACCAACAGATATGACAGCAGTTATGAAGCAAATAGAGAAAATGTCTTGAACAACAACTACAGCATTATTTTCCATAATTTTTTTTAATTTTAGGGAAGGGTCTTCAGGGGTTCAGGGTCTCATTACTAGACCAGATTCATAGTGATTCACCTGTTTACAGCCTCCCAAGAGCTGGGATTACAGGTGTGCGTCACCTCGCTCAGTCTGCTGTCTCAGTACGCCCTGGGGTAGGGCCAGCAGGGCAGGCCCAGGAATCAAACTGGTGGCCCCTGTGCCTGCTTGCAGGTGCTTTAATCCACTGAGCTATTTGGCCAGCCCTCCATAAATTTTTTTACACTTCCTATAAAAGCAACTTGGAAAGAGAAAGGTCTAGAATTTATTTCTTTCTTTCTTTCTTTCTTTCTTTCTTTCTTTCTTTCTTTCTTTCTTTCTTTCTTTCCCTTTCTTTCTTTCTTCTGTTCATGCTGAGGTTGAACTCCAAGCCCTGTGCATGTGAGGCAAGCACTCTACCACTGAGCTACATCCCTAGCACCAAATTTCCTACTTTCTAAGCTCCATGACACAGTTTGGATCCCATAAATGTGAGGTACAGCTGTCGCTTTGTGAAAAGCAGAGTAAGTGCATTCTGGAGCTGTTCAGTCACTTGAGTCACATACATACAAGGAAATGTCACCTCCCTGAAGAAGTTACATGGGGCTTCCAAACAGTGCACCAGGGCAAATGTGATTAGTGTACTTTTTTTTATTTTATTTTACTTTCTTTGGTGGAACCAGGGTTTGAACTCAGGCCCTTGCACTTGCCAGGGAGGCGCTTATTCCACTGAGTCATCTCCCCAGCCCTGTACTTTTAGAAAAAGTCTTAGTCATCAAAGCCATCTCAGAGTCCCACATCTGTTTTTGAAATATGATTCCCTAAAGAAGTGGGGCTGAGTTTAAATTCTGATAGGGAAAAATATTCTCAAAAGGTTCTCTGCCTTTGCTAAAATGGAAATAAGGAATTTTCCCCATCGGTGGCCACCTGCTCCCTCTACCCCCCACCTACTCACAAACACACACACACACACACACACACACACACACACACATGCACACACACACCCAACTCTGCTCACATAGCACATACATTTGTCCTGGCCACACACTCTGCTTGCTTCTCCCTGGGAATTCATGGTCTCCACGCAGCACTGCCCTGCCACTCTATGGCACGAGGCTGCCACCTACAGAACCACTGACCCCTTCCAGCAGCACTCAGGGAGACAGAGCATCTGCTGAAGCAAATGCTTGCAGCTGCAGGTCAGTCAGTGCGTGCGCTTTACCCGCACGCACATGTGCAAATCTTAGGGGCCCCCAAGAGCAGCAACACACACCTCAGCTCCCCTACTCGTGCAAACAACTATAGCTTGAGAAGCATCATGAACAACATGATGTCTCGTGCGTGCAGAGCAAACTTAACCACACTTCCTGTTGTATCCCAAAAAGCAGACGTAAAAATAAAGTCCACTGGACAAAAGATGGTCTTTCCAATTGTCTGTAGGACAGCCTGTTCTTAGAGATATATAACTGCCCAACTGGTAAAACTACAATTATGAAACACAGTCATTTAACACTGAATCTGCTATAAATTAGTTTCTCTTTTCCCATCCCATCATTAAGTATGATAATTTGATCTTGGAAGAAACAGCTAATGTACTACTGACTAGAGCTCACTCTGCTGCTCCTCCTTGGATTACTACATGTGTAAAGAAGGGTACAAACCATCCATCGGTCACGAGAAAGCGCGAAGGATAAATAGCCTTCACCGGGACCGCTCATCTCCACCATCACCGACTGGTCATCTCTTGTGAAGGAAAGGAAGACACAGCCATGATCCTTCTCTGGGTCACAGTTGAAAGGACTCCTAACACAAAACTTCTTCTTCCCACAGTCTGAGGCACTGAACTAGAAAAATGACAGGGAGAAGAAACCCTTCATTATCAAACAAGCAGTTCACTGCCAATCACAGAAGAGTCACAACCTGCAATGATGGATTTTAATGAGAAAACCTTTTCATATCAGGGTTTAAAGAAAAGAACAGAGGACATTCCAAATTAGAAGTGATCAGAGCAGTAGTTAGGCTGTGAACTTTTGAACTTAATTAATTTTAATTGAAATTTAGAAAATGTTATCCTAGTTGGCCTGTAGCAGAACAAGAGCATTAAAGTCCCTTTCCTAAGACAAAGCATTTCACATGAAACATTTCAGAACATATCTAGAGCAAAGCTTCTGGTAAATTTCAAGAAACTTCTTAGGGACTGTAACCACATTAACAATCTTGCCTGACAGGTGGTCTCTAGTTCTGATGGATGGGAGTTTTAAAAGTGGAGATTTTATGTTTAGATCTTGGACTCTGCTGTTAAAATTCAGATTCAAATTTGATAGCAAGGTAACAAAAGAAAAGTCACCCTGATAAACATCACCATTCCAAGCAGAAGTAAGAGGCAATGATCTGTAATGATTTAATCCAGAGCTTCTTGTTATGCCTACAAGAAGAAGAATCTCAGAAACCCATCAGCTCCAGCCTGGAGAGATAGCTCAGCGGTCTAAAGCGCCTGCTTAGGCAAGCATAGGCATGCACAGGGGACCACATTTTGATCTCCAGCACCACATGCTGCACCAGCCCCACCCTTAAGGTGGGCTGAGCTGGCAAAAAGAAAAATAAGTCAGCTCTACAATCTGGCAGAGCAAGCAAGCAGACTTCACCAAACAGGCTGCAAAGGCACATTTCAGAAGAAAGCTACACATTAACTTTAGGTTACCAGATTTAATGAGACTGTAGTAACTACTCTCAGTAGGGTGAAGAGACCAAGCCACTAGGAATGAGCAAATACAGCCTTAGTCTCTGCTCTCTCTTTTGCACCATCACATTTTCCAAAGGTCTTACTTCCTAGGGTCCCTTTACCTTCAAATATCCAAGAAGGAAACTCAACAAAATAAACCCTAAGAGCTTGTCTAGCTCTTAGAAAATGCTACAGTCCCATGACTCTGAACAAAACTTTCTATTATCAGAATTAAAAGCATATGACACGTTACTAATATGTGTAATTTTTATATATTTGTGTAGTATAAATAAATAAAAGAACTTAATTTTTAAAAAAAAGTATTACAAACTTGACACAGAAACACAGTAAAACCTCCAGTAAGAACTCATGCCTAGGGCTGGGGAGATAGCTCAGCAGTCTAAGCGCCTGCCTGGCAAGTGCAAGGTCCCTGGTTAGATCACACCTTTCATTGACTACATGGAAAAACAAAAACATTGTCAACAGACCCCAACTAGAAAGCTGAGGGACAAACCATTTATTCCATGTTATGGTTTGGGTCTGCTTGTCCCCCCAAAGCCTCATGCAGTCATGGGGTGGACTTCTAGACTTTGTGATTTATTCTTGATCCAGTGCTGAGATTATGAGTGTGAGTGCTGCTGGGATTATGGGTGTGAGCACTGCACCCAGCCTGGGGCAGACAGCCTGGATGCAACACAAGGGAGACAGACTTGCTCTCTGCTGCCACTGCTGCCGCTGCTCCTCTCTTTGCTCTCTGCTCTTTGCCATCACCGTGAAAAGTTGCTCTCTGCCATGTGCCGCTCTGCCTTGGAACCAGCTGAGTATGGACTGAAACCTCCACTGACTGTGAGCTAAACAAACCTTTCCTTCCTTCACTTTGGTGTCAGGTATTTGTTCCAGTAAGGAGAGAAGAGTAACTGTGACATTCCCCTGTAGCAGCTGTTAAATAAAAGGCATGAAGACTAAAGTAAGAGCAAGTATAAATAAGAGATATAATTGTATGGTCACAAAAGTGCGACATTCATAATAACAGACCCAAATTAATGTCTATATATATATATATATATATATATACATTTTTTTTTTTTTTCCAGAACCGGGGATTGAACTCAGACTCTTGCATTTGCCAGGGAAGCGCTTATTCCACTGATCCATCTCTCCGGCCCCTATACCTATGTTTTTTTTTATTTCTTTAAAAACACTAAAAAACAATAAAAATGATAAAGAAATTAAAAACACAGAAGAAAAAGAAAGTAAAGTAAGAATAACATTAAGAAGAACAGTAAAAATGACTGAAAAAGGAAGGCACTAAGGTTTACTAAACACTAAATAAACGCAAGGCACAGAAAACATATTCATTCTCTTAATTCTCACAGTGATACTAACAGCGAGATTTCATTATTACTCATACATGAAGAAACTGAAACTGAAAACTGAGATTTCTCTAAAGACCCACAGCGTGTAGACAAGTCAGTATTCAGGCCCAAGCGTGTTCTTTAGACTGATACCGCCTGTCTCGAGTCACTGTCGTAGCCCCTTCTGAACCCAACAGTCTACCTTAGCAGAATGTCCTCCAATAAAATGCCTTTTCTAATGTTTCTAATATGCGCTACACTTTCTGACACATTTTTCAATCATAAGTATTTTGAATCAAAGGTTCTAAATGGAATTCTAGCTGAGGAGCTTGTAAGAGATTTTCTGTCATTCAATATACAGAACTCCCCACTACTGGATGACCTGTAACAAGTAAGATCTAAGAGTTCTATCACCACTTCAAGAATCATCTCTAGGGTTGGTGAGGTGAGATAGCTCAGTGGTCTAAAGTGCCTGCTTAAGGCAAACTTAGGCAAGCACAGGGATCTCGGTTCAACCCCAGGCAATGCATGCCATGCCAGCCCCACCCCGAAGGCAGGCTGAGCCAACCACAAAAAAAATAAATAAATAAATAAATAAATAGGACCGGGGAGATAGCTCAGTAGAATAAGCACTTGCCTGGCAAGCACAGGGTTCTGAGATCAATCCCTAGTACCACAAAAAATAAAAATAAAAATAAAAATAAGACTGGGCATGATGGCACGCACCTATAATCCCAGCACTTGGGAGGCTGAAAACAGGAGGATCACTATGACTCAGATCTGTGTAGTGAGACCCTGTAAACTCTGTACTAAATACATAAAAAAATAAAATTTATTTAAAAAAAAATATACAAAAATAAAAGAATCTCCTCTAAATCTTGTCTCAGTTTAGCTCTCCAGGTTTGATCCTTAGCCACAAGGAAAAAAGGGAGGGAGGGAAGGACTTCCTCAAATTTACTTCCAACTGCCATTACAGACTACACGTGACAGTTATAACCACATCTGGAACATGCAGGGCCTTGCACTTTCTTTATTCTAACTATATAGTATAATGTTGCAAGTGAGACTCCCTTCAGATGCCTACAGAGAACCCAAATGCTTGGTACCGTGACCCAGGACAGCTGCTCCTTTAATATGCACTTTACCAAGCATAGAACAACAATTTCCAAGAAAGCTGTCATTTTAGATTGTATGTGGAGACTTACTGGTTTGGTCAGGTGGAAGATTGGAGGTGATGTTGATGATGGAGCTGCTGTAGCTTTAGGTGTTGTAAAAGGAGGTGCATTTGGTTTTGAAATTACCTGACTGGGAATGTGTACCCAGTAGGTTTTATACTTCTCAACCACTGTGGCTCTGAAATGGAATCATAGTGAGACTAGACAAAACACTAATTATAGTCTATCATTGTGAGATCAAACTGTTAAAAGGAAAAAAAGTAGGAGTTGTGAATCAGAAACACATAAATTCTCTAAAACAAATTTCTAATGATTGTCTTCTACCTTATCACCATGTGAACTTTTCCCTCTCTTTTTTTTTTTTTTTTTTAATTTATTTGGTACAGAGACTCACTATGAAGCTCACGTGCATAGTGATCCTCCTGTCTCAGTCTCCCCGACACTGGGATTACAGGCATGTGCTACCATGCCCAGGGATCCAGGGTCAGTATGGCATGCAGTACCAGGGATCGAACCTTGGTCCTTGCACTTGCCAGGTGGGCACTTAGACTGCCAAGCATTCTCCCCAGCCCTACTATCTCCTTTTGTCCCTGGCTTTTCTGTTCTTTGGACATATTAATAGCATCCATGAATGTCTGATTCAGAGGTTAAATTGCATAGATTTCAGGCCAGCGAGTAGCTCAGAGGAATAAGGCGCCTGCTTAGGCAAGCTTGGGCAAGTGCAGCAACCCTGCACCACATGCTGTGCCAGCCCCAGCCCTGGGGCACACTGACACAGGACTGAGACTGGGCGTGGTGGCACACGCTTGGGAGGCTGCAGACAGGAGAATCACTATGAGTCTGCTCTTTGTCGTGAGACCCTGTATACCCTGTACTAAAAATACATTTTCTTAAAAAAATGCAGAGATTCCTTCTCTTTGATGCGGAAAGAATATACCACTACTGTTTCACTGTATACTATTCACATTCTTCCAAAAGCAGTAGATGGCACACAGCTACAGCAAGCAGCTCAAAAGAGGCTGCACAAAAGATTGTCACTCTCACTGGCCAGTCTCACGCTCCACCTAACACAGAGATATAAAATTGTTCCTTGTATTAGACCCCCGTGTACAAAGTTAAGCAGAAAACTAAGACATGCTGGGATAGCGCTATTTTCTTGAAGTGCATGCCATAATACCACTCAGGAATCATTACACGGCTTCATAACATTCTATTTCTCTTGCACAGAGGAAGAAGGGAGTGCTAACTTTTAATTCTTCTGGGTTTCATAATTCTTAGAGACATACAAGTTATTTTTCTAACAATCTAATCTGCAAATTGTAACAATACAAAAAGGTTATCCAAATTTCAGAACTATTTTATTCATATTTTCCTTTTCTTTCTTTTCCTTTCTTTTTTTTTTTTTTTGAGATACAGCCTCACTATGCAGTTTAGGCTGGACTTGAACTCACTTAGTAACCCAGGCTGGCCTCAAACTCACAGCCATCCAACTGCCTCAGCCTTCCGAGGCTGGGATTACACATGTGCACCACCACACCTGCTCTATTCCTATTTTCATAGTAAAAGGAAACACTATTTTGAAAAGTATTACACCATATACCATAGAATCAAGTACTAATTGACAGTTTCATGAGTTTTAGGGTAATGTAGCATTTCACTCAGTCAGCAAATGTCTACTAAGTTCTTATTAGGTACCAAGTGCTGGGCTAGGTGCTGGCTATGTCTTGTTGTAGAACAAGCAAACAAAAAACACAGAACAAACTCTTACATCAGCAAGCTGGGATCATTCCTAGGCCAAAAGCCTCTAAGACAGACCAGAGTCCGATAGCATATAACATGGTACAAGCCATTTATAATTGCAATTACATCAGTAACACAGATATAAACTCCTCTACTCACAGGAATCTTATGTGATTCGGGGCACTGCTTGGAGCCTTCCAAAAAACTTTAATTTCTGATTTTTTGGATGAACTTGTATGACTCACAGCTGAGGCCTGAAATAAAATGGAAAAGAGCTACATTCATACAATCAACAGCTCAGCGAAGCCGGAACTGCTATCATTCTGCAAAACAAGACATGGCTGCATGGGGCCAGGGAGATAGCTCAATAGAATAAGCACTTGCCTGGCAAGCACAAGGGCCTGAGTTCAAACCCCGGTTCCACCAAAAAAAAAAAAAAAAAAAGACACGGCTGCAGGCATGGCGGTGCATTCTGGGAAAGACTGTTTCACCCAGTGCAAGAACCCAGACACTCAATAATGCATATGGACTGGGTGATAACACGCCAGCAGTTAACTCTGAATATATTAGAGCTATCAGAAATTTAAGAACTGGGGCCAGAGAGATAGCTCAGTAGAATAAGTGCTTGCCTGGCAAGCTCAGGGTCCTGAGTTCAATCCCCGGCACCACAAAAAGTAAAAAAGAAAAAAGAAAAATAAAGAAATGTAAGAACTGAAGGGAGTCGTGAACACTGAGTGTTAATACTACTCCAGCTATCTCATTGCTTCACTTATACTATTTATTTCTTCCATTAATAGACCCAAATAAAATGCAGATGATTCCTCAAAAGAAAAGGAAAAGGCTTCCTGCTTCCAAATATGCAGCATGCTTTAGTAATGCCTTCCTTCTGAGTAGTGTCTTCCACCTGGAAAACTCCTATGCAGCCTTCAAAGCCTAGACTAGAGATGGTCTCCAAGATTTTTTTTTCTGTCCCACTTTTGAACTTTATTTTCAATATTGAAACCCTTCAAAATTCAATGCTATGAGTTCACCCAATCTAGAATGCCACAAATGGGGACTTGCGAGTTAGCTCAGTTGTTTAAGCGCCTGCTGGGGCAAACCCAGTGAGGCACAAGGGACCGTGGTTCACCCCTATGCTTTACCAGACCCACCCTTAAGGCAGCCTGAGCCAACCGAAAAAAATCCTAAAATAATCACAAACTATAAGCTCTCCAGGCCTATGTCCTCCCTTTCCTAGAATGGTGTGTGAAAAAATTTTTTCAAGGAAAAGTGATTATTGTGAATCTGCTTAAATGCCTGTTGTGCCTGGGTAATATCTCTGAAACAATTACATTTCTCCTTAGAGTAAAAAACCAAGAAAGTGGACAGAAGTTACTACACAAGCTAAATACAAACCTGTACATCCTCACAAGTCAGAAGCTGTGACACCTGACTGTCCTTCAATAGGAAGGAGCCAACAGGAGGGCCATCCAAATCCTCTGCATCACGAGCTTCTACAAGAAAGCCTTTAAAGGGCCGTCCTGACAAAGTAACTACGACACAGACAAAAGACAAGTTAGTAGATTTATCAAGACTCCCCAAAAAAATGTTTACAGGAGACACATCACAACCAGAATCAGGTATATGTGAGTAAAGCCACCCTTGGAGAGAAGAGTAGAACTCATTTCTATAGACAAAGAAGGTCTATCTTGTGTTCTATAGGACATTTGTTCTAGGAGATGTTCATGTGAAACCCCAGGGGAAGAAACACAGGTGACAGCCAGTGAGCATCTGTAAGGCTAAATGAGTTTGGAGCCGGGCCTGATGGCACACATCTGTAATCCCAGCACTCAGGAGGCTGAGGCAAGAAGATCGCCCCAAGTTGGAGGTTAGCATGGGCTAGAGAGTTCAGGAGCAGCCTGAACTATACAGCAAGACCCTGTCTCCAAAAACCAAACTAAACTAAAAAAATAAAAAATAAATAAATTATTTTGAAAAATACTAGATGAAAGTAAATATCTGTTTGTTTACTTCAAATCCCTTGGTATCTTTAATATTCTACTGTGCAATGTGAAACTCTAAGACATATATTATACATAACATATAGTGTTCTAAACTTGTTTCTCCACTTGCCTGTCCTATTAAAGAAAACTTATTAATGTTTCACATTTCTAGAACTGCGGAAAAATAAGAGTTTGCAAACTGGTATTAAGATAACTTTTTCTGGTTGTACTACAGATCAAACCCAAGGGAGCTCTACCACTGCGCTACAACTCCAGGCCACTTCCTATTTGTTTATTTCAAGTCAGGCTCTTGTTAAAATTATCCAGACAGAAGTTGAACTTTAGAGCCTCCTGCCTCAGCTTCCCAAAACTCTGAGATTACAGGCATGTGCCACCACGCCATCTAGTAAAGAACATATTTAACAGTTTGCCTACATTTTGCTGAAAGAATTAGGGAAACACTATTTCAAAAAAGTCAAAGGTTCCCTGTCTTTTAAACAAGAAAAAATAAATTTATTTTCTCTTCAAGTCAATAGAATACTAATATATATTAAATAATGATAAAATATATTCTATAACTTATTCTAAATAGGGAGTAGATACACTATCTAAGTAATATAGTCGGGCCAGCTGAGATAGCTCAGTGGTCTAAAGCACCAGCTTAGGCAAGCTTAGGCAAAGCACAAGGACCATGGTTCAATACCGGGCACCCCATGCCAAGCCAACCCCACCCCCAGGGTGGGCTGAGGTGGCCAGAAAAAAAAAAAGTAACACAGTCATCTGTAGTAAACAAGAAATAAGAAATATAAGGTTAGGGGTCTTACAAAAACAAGTAAATAAAAAAGATTAAAATGAAATTGTCCAAATCCAATAATAAAAATGCAATGAACATTAAAACTATGGAACCCAAAATGGAAATAGCTATTCTCAGCACTGTACCTACGATCTGATCTCCGGGTCTGAATGTTGTCTGACTCACTGCCACGTGGTGAGGTGGGTCAGGCTGTGGGCTGTGCCCATGTCCGGGGATCATTCGACGGCATGACTCTGTTACTTTTCCATTGGGGTAACTGGCCACCGAACTAGCACACAGCAGGAATACGAAGGCACCTGGGGTAAATCTGGGAACTTCCATCTCAAAAGGAAAATTAAAAGCATGTCATTTTCAGATCTAATTAAAATAAAATATAACAGCTCTCATAACACAGGACAGTAATTCTCAGTAGCTAATCGCTTTCAATGGTCAGGTATCCATGTTCTCTGAATATAGGATAAAAAGAAGGTGGTGTGTGAAGTCTGATTTGAATCTGGATTTGAATCTCAGCTCTATCAAGTAGCAACTGTGAGGTTTTGGACAAATCACTTAAGTCTCCCCTTCCTTCCCTGAAAAACATGGAAAGGAAACTAAGACCTTTTTTTTTAATAAAGCAAAGATGCAGCCCTAGAGTCTGACAAGAAAGACAATAAAAGATAGTTTCCAATAGTATCACGGAGAAATAATAAACTATTCAATACAAATGTCTTGACAGGGATGTGTTACAGGACAGGACTGGCTGTGAGGTGTTCAGATACCTCAGTCCTGTGTCCTTCTGAGCCCCATTCTCAGGCCTCAGGCCTGACCTAGAGTTACATAATGCCTCCCTCAGTTCCTAGGCCTGAGAATTCAGACTGCATTCCGCTACCAACCTTCCTGCTGCTCTACCTTGGAGACAGCAATCTGTGAGACTTCTCAGCTTCCACAGTCAAATGAGCCAATTCTCAGAAGAAAACACAATATGTATATAATAAAAATGAATTATATTTGGCTATGTTACTCTAAAGTAACCTGACTAACATAGTGTGCCACTTTTTCTTCTAATTAACACATACCAATTGTACATATGAAGAGGATCCTGTGTGGTATTTCCATATATGCAGATAGTGCACACTCATAATGTTTATCCACCCTTCTTCCTCACCGCCCTCCTGACCTCCCCTACTGGCACCTTTCCCAGTACCTAGTAATCAGCATTCAACTTCCAAGTGGCCTCTTTTATTTTTTGTTTGTTTAACTTTTCACATGTGAGAGAGAACATACTTGCCTTTCTTGTCTGGCGTATTTTATTTAATGTGATATCCTCCAGTTCCATCTATATATTTTTTTCTTTTTTTTTCCCTGTATTTTAGAGAAGGGTCTACAGGGTGTGTCCAGGGTCTCACTACTAGATCAGACTCAATAGTGTTTCTCCTGTTTACATCCTCCCAAGAGCTGGGAATACAAGCACACGCCATCATGCCCACATCCCAGCATGCCCTGGGGTAGGGCCGGCACAGCAGGCACGGGTATCAAACCCCTGGCCCCTGCACCTGCTTGCAGGTGCTTTAATCCACTGAGCTATTTGGCTGGCCCTTCCATTTTGCTATAAATGACAGGATTTCACTCTTCTTTATGACTGACTAATATTCTGTTTTGTTCTTATACAGTATCTTCTTTATCCATTCATCAGTTAACAGGCACATATATGTCTACCACTATCTTAGCTATTGTAAATAGTGTCACAATCGACATGGACATGCAAGTATGTCTTTTGTATGATGACTTCATTTTCCTTCTGATATATACCCAGGAGTAGAATAGCTGAATCAAATTGTTTATATTCCCACCAATAAGATATGAGTATTTTTTTTCACTATGTCATCACTAGAAAGTTTTGCCTTGTTTTACTGTTGTTAAATACTATTTTTAATAGCCATTTTAACTGGAGCAAGATGGTATACATTTATTTTGGCTCGTATTTCCCTGATAGCTAATGATAGTATGAAACATTTTTTCATACAGTTATTAGCTATTTGTACTTCTTTTGTGAAGTGTCTGTTTAGATCACATGCCCCTCCCTTTTTGGAGGGGCACACCAGGAATTGAACTCAACACTTTGCACTTGCCAGGCAGGCACTGTGCCACTGAGCTATGTCCCTGGCCCCATGTGTCCCTTTTTGAACTGGCTTATTTCAGTTGTTGCTGTTGTTTTCTTTATATATTTTGGGTATTGACCATGTAATGTTAATAAATATACTATCAACAGTAATCAAAAGAAAGCAGGAATAGTTATATTAATTCCAATAGAGCAGACACTAAGCCAGGGAAAACTATCAGGCATAAACAGAACTTTACATAATTATGAGATCAGTCCTCCAAGAACACATAAAATCCTCAGTGAGTATGCACCTAACAACACAGCATCAAAATATAATCAGGCAAAACCTAATAAAAATAAAATAAAAAGAGATAATCCACTATTATAGCAGGAGGCTTCAACAACCCCATCAAAAATAGACAGGTTCAGGAAGCAAAACAATCAGTAAAGACAAAGATGAATTCAACAGAATACAATGAACATCTATAGACTACTCCATTCAGTAATCTGAAGACTACACATTCTTCTCTAGTTCACATGGAATTGTCACCAAGACAGGCCATATCCTCTGCCATAAAACACAACCTTAACAAATTTTTTTAAAATAAAAATCAATAATGTCTGCTCTCGGGCCATAATGGGATTAACACTGGAATTGAATAATGAAAAAGCATCTAGAGATTGGTCCAATACTTGGAGATTGAACATACTTATAAATAACAGACATGTCATAGGAGAAGTCTCAAGAAAAGTGAAAAGCACTTGGATAGAAATGAAGATGAAAACACAACTTATTACAATTTGGGAGCAGCAGCCAAAGCAGAACTGTCCAGAGTTATTTACACTCCTAAGGAAACAAAGCCCATGCTGGACCACAGCCGCACTACAGGAATTCCTGATAAACTCCAGAAATTACACAGAAGAACTCACACTGTAACACGTCCTGCACATCGACTAGGAGCTACCAAGTAAGCAGCTTGGTACTGCTGTCATTTTCTTTACATATTTTGAATACTGACTGACAATATTAGACACCTCATCAAACATCAAGGCTAGATAATAGATAGAATGTTCTTCATTCAAAGATAAGCAAAGGAGGGGCTGGTTGAGATGGCTCAGTGGTCTAAAGCACCTACTTAGAACAAGCTTAGCAAAGCTACAGGGACCGCGGTTGAATCCCCCAGCACCACATACCAGTCAGCCTGCCCCCTGGTGGGCTGAGCTGGCCACACATACACACACACACACACACACACATATACATAAAAATAAAAAAAAAAAAACAAAGATAAGCAAAGGAAAAACTGAACATATTAAGAGCTTCTTTTTTTAAAAAAATGAAATAGGGGCTGGGGAGATAGCTCAGCAGTCTAAGCATCTGCCTGGCAAGCACAAGGACATGGGTTTGCTCCCCAGGAGTACAGGCCATGCCAGTGCCCAGGATTCCACTTTGCCAGCCACTTAAACTGGGAGTGGTAGCACACACCTGGAATCCCAGTGCTGGGAAGGCTGAGACAGGAGGATCACCCTGTAACAAATAAATAAATAAATAAAAATTTCTAAAAAGAAAAATCAAAAAATAAATGAATAGAATGAACTTACACCATAAGAGAAGTACAATGTTTCTCTGTAGACCCAAAGGAAGAGGTAACTGAAAATGGTTACTAGCGTGAGCAAAATATTTACGAAAATGATTACTAAAAAGCAGGGCAGTAGGAGAATTTTCAATTAAAACCTGGTTTCCAAGGCCCTTTGTTGGGCAGACATGCTGTTATTAGAAGTAGGCAGAGCCACAGAGAAAGGTCATGGACACAGCTTAATTAAACCGCATGACCTTGGCCAAATCATTATAAAGACTAGATGCAGTGACATGCGCTCAACTAAAGGGTGGTATATTGCAAAGAATTAGTTGAGTTTAGCAAATAGGTTCTGCCTATAAGATAAGGGTGGGAAGCAGACATGATGTTTAGACTCTGCTATGCACTGAACAGCTGAATAACATGAACCAAGTCATTTAATTTCTCTGTCTCAGTTTCATCATTTGAAAAACATAGCAAGTAACTTAGAAGGAATTCCAGGCCACCTTCAACTCTAAAATCCTTTCATTTTAGGAAAGCTAATAGGGAAAGTGTCTCAGTTAATTATTATCTCACTGCCTGGACAAAATACCCAACACCCAGAATTAAGGAAGGAAAGATTTATTCAGCTCACTTTTAGTGGAGATTTCAGTCCATACCCAGCTGGCTCCAAGGCAGAGTGGCACATGGCACAGAACACCCGTTCAAGGCAAAGAGCAAAAGGGCAAAGGGAGGGGCAGCAGCTTGCTCAGCTAGCCAGCCTCTTGCCCCTCCTTACACTGCCCCAGGGCCGATGCAACACCCACACCCACAATAATCAGTCACAAACTCTAGAAGCCACCCCATGACTGCATGAGGCTTTGGGGGAGACAACTAGCCACAAACCATAACAGAAAGCATATTGGGAATAACGTGAAGCAGAAACATAAGACAGGAGGGGGATGTAACTTAGGTAAGTAAATACAAGAAACAAGGTCAGAAAGGGAAGCAATGTCAACCTCTTCTTCCTTTGTCAAATGCTGACTGCTGAAGATAAAGATGTTTGTTTGTTTGTTTGTTTGTTTTTTAATGTATTTAATACAGGGTCTATAGGATCTCACTACATAGATCAGACTCATAGTGATCCTCCTGTGTTCAGCCTCCCAAGCGCTGGGACTACAGGCACATGCCACCATGCCCAGTCTCAATTCCCATCTCAGTGTTCCCCAGGGGCAGGACTGGCACTGCACACTGGGGATCAAACCCCAGGCCCTGCACTTTGCCTAAGAGGTGCTTTAGTCTGCTGAGCTGTCTGGCCAGCCCCATAGTTGTATTTTCTTTACAACCACCAATGTTGGTTTCCAGTGACTGGTTTAAGGAATAACTTTTTATATTGCTTAGCCAATCTACATGAAGTAACGATTATGATAGGAAGGCAAATAAGAGTTATCCATGAAAACATTTAAGCTAAAATTATGGACTGTTGATAATTAGCTACTATATAATGAACTTAGATTTCAAGCACAGTACAAGCTCCTGCCAATTATAGATAATTTTTTAAATTGCTACTGTTCATTCTAATATGTACATTATAGAGGGGATAAAACTAAAGAGACCATGCCTTGCATCTTGTCAGTTCAGGACAAGGACAGACCCATAGTTTAAAAGCTTGAGAGGTTATCTTGATTCTTTAACTGAAAGTTTTGCAAAGCTAATGAGAT